CTAACATACTTTGTGTTCGTTAGGTCTATGGCGCTGTGTGCAGGGCTCTGTGTTCATACTATTCTTTATTTCACAGAAACTCTGTAAGTCTGACGTTATTGTGATCCCTGTTTTGCAGATAAGGAAACAGGCTCAGAAGGTTGAGTAACTGCCCCCAAATCAGCAGCAAAACCCCAATTCAAACCCCACTCCTCATCAGGTTCAAATCCCATTCTATTTCTGTTACTCCATGCCGCCTCTTTAAACAGCTATCAAAGAAGGTCCATTCTGTACAGAAATTCTTGAAAAAATAAACAGTTTGGAATGGTTGATCTTTTAGCCCCCTTCTCTCTTTAAAAAAAATTATATATATATATATATATATATATATATATATATATATATATATATGATTCTATGGAGAGAAGAAAAAAGAAGGAAATGTAAGGAGGCCAAACATTATGAGGCTTGGCTTATCAGTATTTAATAACAGCCTTTGGATCGAGACTCTACAAAATCTTATTTATGGACAGACAGTTACTGTTAAGCAGAGCCTTTTTATACAACCTTTTCATCTGAGGATGTTGTAGCCTTCTACTGCCTTTCTATTAGTGAGAGATGAGGTGTGAAATTTGCTGGCCCTGCCAAGATTATCCCATTAAATTATCTGCCCTCTTCCAGTGTAACTCACTCAGGGGCAACAGTTTGAGACTCGGGCCCTGGGGATGTCCATGCCTGGGCGTCCTCGGCGGGCGGAGACGGAGGGAGAAAGGACAAAGTTCAGGTGGTGGTAGCATCCCAGTGACATAGCATCAATCCACGTTTCACTGCCTTACCAAAATAAAGTGGATGCCACAATTATCCCATTCCTAAACAAACTGAAAACCCCAACCGAGCTTACTGCAACAAAGAGAGAGCCTTTTTACTGCTGTTTATTTTTATTTTGTATTCGTTAGCTTTTTAGATATTCCTGGCATGCAAGTCAGGCTCCGTGTAACAAGCAGCTGCATTTAGTTAAGGATTTTCTAAGAGTTCCCCCCATCCCCTCCCCCTTCAACTCCAGAGAACTTTCTCAGACTCTCCTTTCTCTCCGTGTGCCTACAGAACAGCTTCTCCTGTCACACCCCAGGGAATGGGTGAAGGCAGGCTGAGGCCCTTCTGTCTGAGAAAAAGGCCTGGAAGACCTGCGTGTTTCCCAGCTGGAACTAGATTTGCCAGGGTCTGGTCCGCACTGGGATCTGAAGCTGGCAAACAGGCTCACCCACCAGAGAGCACTCTAATAAATCACCCCCTCCTCAGCCTCCAAGAGGAGTTGTCCACCAAGATGCGAATGCAAAGACACTTCATCAAAACACATCTCAGCGCCATTTGGGAGGAACTGGCAGACACACTCCTCAAACCTCATCAAAGCTACATTTCAAGCCAGGCTCGGTGGCTCAACCTGTAATCCCGTGCCTTTGGGAGGCTGAGGTGAGTGGACTGCCTGAGCCTGTGGGTTCGAGACCCGCCTGGGCAGCGAGACCTCATCTCTACAATAAATCAAAAAATCAGCCGGGCATGGTGGCGCATGCCTGTAATTCCGGCTACTCGGAAGGCTGAGGCGGAAGGATCGCCGGAGCCCAGCAGGCTGAGGCTGCGGTGGCCGGGAGCGGCCACTGCACTCCAGTCTGGGCGACAGAGTGAGACTCCGACTCAAAAAAAAAAAAAAAGTTACATTTCATTATATGTAAAAAAAAAATGTGATTCTTCCAGATCCAGAGGCCCAGGCCATCCAGGGGCTTCCAGCCTCTCTGAGTTACAGCAAGATTGGCTGGCTTAGGAAACTCCAAGATCGAAAGGAAAATTGACATTGGTTGTCGCCATTTCTCATAGCCTCTAGGTTATAGCTAAAGAAGCTCCCCTTGGCTGCTCTGGGAAAACCTGAGGAAATGCTACCGTCAGTTAGGGCTTGTAAACCCAGCGATGCCACTTCCTGGCAGTGTACCCTTAAGAAAGTAACTTAACCTCTCTGTGCCTAAGCTGACCCATCTGTAAAATTATAGGGTTGCCGTGAGGATTCAGTGAGTAAATACTTGGAAAAGGTTTACAGCAGTGACTAGCCTGTTGTAAGGATTACATAAGTGTCTATTAAATAAATTTCACAAACAAGGGCATCCCAGAATGCTTGGGTCCAGAGAAAGACATTTAGTTGAGGTCACAAGGACTTGGCACCATTCTTCAGCTTCTCCCAGGCCCAATTAACAGCCTGCCTGGTGAAAGGGAAACCGGGAAGTCAAAGGAGGGCTTCTTTGGAGTGGGCTATCCTGGAATAAGGCCTAGAGTAGCCACCAAAACTCAACCCCTTCCAGCCTATCCAGGAAGGCGGTCCATTGCCTCAGGCCTCAAACACTGGAGTCAGCAGTTTCCATCTTTGGGGGGTTGCAGTTTTCTCAGAAAATCAGATTATGGATATAGCTATAAACATACAACCATAAAAATGCATATAAAATTGTATATGTTATTTCTGGGGTTTCATATATCCTTAATTTCACGTACCCCAAGTTACTTTTATGTACTCACCTCTAGGCTGAGTACTGTTATCCAGGACTTGACATGCACAACTTTATTTAAATCTCAAAACACTTTCCTGTAAGGCTCAGAAAAGCTAAAGGACACATGCAGAGAAAAGATTCAACTCCAGGTCTGTCAAATGCCAAAGCCTGTGCTTGTAACCATTAAGCCACACCGTCAAGTTCTGCCACACTCCTTTTATACTAGAAGATGGGACGAGAAAAGGAAAAATCCTTGAACGCGTGCCATGTTGCATTTCTACTAAGAAAAGCAAATAAGAGCAGAATTTTGCATTCAACCAAAAAAGTGACCCTTTTGAACCACTGACCATCTATGTGCGTGTATATATATGCCATTTATATGCAGATACACATTTACATTGATATATATATATATATATATATATATGGCCTACAAAGCATTCTGTTCTCCATAGGGTCCTGTGTAAAGTTTTCCAAAAATATTTGAAAGGGTTAGGTGTTCACCACCCCAGGCAAATCTAACTTAAGAGTAAGGGATGCACCACATAGAAACTTTTTAAAAGTCTAATCAGGGGCCTATGCTCACCATATGAGAGAGTGGATATTATAGAGCAAAGTGGAGGTTTTTAAAGGCCACCTAACTAAGTATGAGGCAGATCATCCCAGGAATCAGAGGAGAAAAAAACAGCCGCCAGGGATGCTGAGTCAACATTCAGCCAGAGGGAGATAGCCTAAGTCTTTTTGCAAATATCAGTTCACTGAATCCTAACAACCCCATAAGGAAAATGACATAATTTGCTCATTTTACAGATGGGTAGATTTAGGCATGGGAGGTCAATGCCGAATTTTTAATATTTCCAAAACTGCCAGAGGCAATTGGACCACACCCTTTGCCCATCACACCTTGGCATGGCGCCCCCTAGCCTCCCAGGGAGGAACTCTGGGCATCTCTAAGAACTAAAGTTGGGGCTGGCTGACTTAGGCTCTCTGTTTTCACCAGCAAAGATGAGAGTCGAGAGACACCTAGTTTTAAAGGAGACGAGACAGACACCTATTAAATGGCAATGGAAGGTTTACAAACTGACAGCAAACACAGTAGCAGGCCATTTCCCTCTGGCTCCAAGCAGTCAAACCACAAGCTCTACAGGATTCCGAGAAAGGCCCAGGTCGGCTTCTAAAGCTCTAAGCTTGAGTGCCATTATAAGGGCTTCAGCTTCCCAGAGAAGTTTAACTTTGGGTCGGTCAGAGAAAGACAGGAGACCAACAACAAAAAAAGTAAATTTAAGTTTTGTCCTCCTGGCTAAAAGTGGCAGGAGAAATGCTAAGCACTTTTGAAAAATAAATTAAATATGTCTCCTCCCTCCTAAGCAGATTTCCTGAGCCACTGGCTAAGTTACCTTAGAAACCTTGAATCAGAAGAGGAAGTAAGTCTGCCTTCCACCAGAAGCCTTGTACCCAGAAAAAAGATCAAACCTGGAAATGAATTTATAAGACAATAGTAACAGATTTGAGCTCATTATCAAAGCCTATGGAATAGGCAGTACTCTTTCAAAAGTTCTTAAAGCATATAAACAGTTAAAGGAGACAGAATTTGAGTGGCTGCTGATAACAAGGGTGTCTTGCACTCAGCAAAAATCACTGCATGGACATTTATTTAAAAGCAGGTGACACCCCCTCCCCCCCACTCCCCCAGGGGCTGTGATCTAAAAGCAAACACTGTTGAAAGGTTAAGTACAAAGGAAAGGAGTCTGCAGAGGAAATAACTGAATTAATCAAGGCACCCAGCCTGGGGTCCGACCTGAGTTAGAATCGCCCCAGTTACCTCCGCCTCAATTTACTGGGCAGCCTCACTTCAGAAGGATGTTTACACGAGGGAGGCAGCATGGTTCATTTTTGCTTTTCACCCAGGTGTTGTGGCACAGGGCCAGATGTTTGGCATCACCAAGCAAAACATCCATGTGACCAAACTGTTTACATTTCATTAGGATTTTTCATCAGGAAGGTGCACTCCCCGCTGATGTACATTTTAATCACAATTAGGAGTTGGATTTACCCCGAGGGGTTTCCAGATTAGCGCAACCGCACTCAAGGATCAGTTTCAGAAATCATCCTCAGAAAAGACACCTCCCACTTCCCCAAACCTATCTCTAACAAACCAAAACGCACACACAACTCCCTTCCAGAGTGTGTCTTCTACCACGAAAGTTGTTAGCTCACTCTTAGTAAAAAGCTAGTTCTGCACTCAAGGTCTACGCAGTGGATGGATCTCTTGCCCCTCAACTGCGGTCACCCAGAGCCTTTTCCTGAACACAGTGCTAACTTGAAAATGAAAGCTGTATGAGAAAAAGGGCAGAGACCTCTTTATCCGCCCAGGTTTGGGGCTGGGAGTGGGGGAGGGCAGAATCCCAGGGCCTCGCAACCCCTCGAGCGATGCGTGCTACAAGTGAGACCCAGGGCCCCGGAGACTTTCATCAACTTTCCCCCTCCAACCTCCAAAGAATGAATCGGCCGTCTCCACAGGCGCGGCCGGGCTCTTCCCCCTCATTGTGTCCGGGCTCAAGCGCAGCGAGGATCCCAGCTTCCCGCAGCGAGCTAGACGCTCGGGCTTGCGGTGAAGTCTTTCTCTAACTGTTGCGATTGTCTTCGGAGATTACCAAAATCAAGTCAGCATTCGATGGCTGCGCCCCCGCTCGCCTGCAACACACACGTGCACACCCGGAGCGCCCTGGAGCCGCAGGCCGCCTCTGACAGCACGTTTCGCACAGAGTGGCAGGGCGCGCGCGTTCCGGCCTCGAT